TTCTTCCTCGAGGTGTAACTTTGATAACAGCTAACCAGTTTATTCCCGAGGTAGTAATCTGAGGGTATGGAATGAAGCAAACTTGATCTGCTTGGGAAGCTAATATGAAAGGCTCGAACTTGTTGTACCTACGAAAATAAAGATCAATACGTAAAAATTAATTAATATTGGAAACCTGGATATTAAAAAAAAAGAATTTGGTGTACCTTCGTCCACCGTTGACATCAACTACACCGTTCTTGTTAATCCGAACACCTCTGTTTACGACGGGGTCGTACCACTCACACTTGAAAATAACACATTTCAAACCCATACCCGAGAATTGAACTTCATAAATCTCCTGCAAGATCCCGTAGAAATCTGTTTCGCCTTTCACACATATTCCATAATTACTTGTCACTGGTGTCTACCATAGTCGTAGGTATGAAAAGTATAGCCTCGGGTGAAATACATCGACGATGTAGTGACCTTTGCAACTGGACCTTGAAGTAATTCGCGAAACCATGCGGAATACTTAGGATCGTCATAATCAACCTGCAACAAAAAATAAAATACATTAGACTTACTTTGTGGTAATGTATGCATACAATTTAAGTAATAAATAAATACATGTTTCCTCAACCACTTGATAAAGTGTTGATCTTTCCTTTTGTCTAACTCAGTTGTCGATATACCAGGTATTGCTTCCTCGACTTGAGTCTCAAATTGACTGTAAAATCATATATGTTATGTTATATATTTAATATTGAAAAAAAAAATATATATATATATATATATATATAAGTGTGTATGTTTATATATTTACCTTTCAAAATAAACAATCAATGGATGCTCGCAATTAAGAAGAATATAAAGGTGTGCACTATGGACGTCTTCATCACTCGATCACCAAACCTCTTTCAATTTCCCAACCAATCGCCCAATTTGACAAAAGATGTCTGGAACATCGTCTTCCATATATGTCGGCACGACACCACCACCATCATATCTTCTTGGAGCTCGTTTCCTTGTACGTACTTTCGGTGCAAAGTAGTACGAAGTGAAATGTGATGTTTCTTCCGTCAAACTTCCCGCAACAATAGAACCTTCAACTCTTGCTAGGTTTTTGGCTTTTCCTTTCAAAGTTTTCATGGCCCTTTCATACTGATACATCCATCCATAATGCACGGGTCCACAAAGTAATGCCTCATACAGGAGGTGGACAACTAGGTGTTCCATGACGTCGAAAAAATTTGGCGGGAATATTTTCTCCAAGTTGCAGATTAAGACGGAGATGTTTTCATGAAGTTGTTGGACAACTTCCACTTTAAGAATGCGGGTGCTCAGATCCCTAAAAAATGCTTCAATTCCTTATATATATACGAAAACAAAAATTATCCACATTAGTATATATATATATATATATATATATATATATAAATATAAATAAATTAATCATGTCATCGTATTATATTAACTAATTACCTGAAAGTGCTCCATGTACTTTTGCCGGCAGTAGCTCCGCAAACGCAAAGGGAGGTAGTCGCTGCATAAAGACATGACAATCATGGCTCTTCATCCCGGAGAACTTTTGCCCTTTCTCAACACATCTTGAGAGATTTGAAACATACCCATCAGGGAACTTCACTTCTGAAGCCACCCAGTTGAACAACGCAGACTTTTTTTCTGATGACAGTCTGAATATTGGAACTGGAACTTGCCCATTGCTTTGTATATG